GTTTTAATCTGGCCCTTGAGCTCCTGCTGTGGAGTGGGGTCTGGGGCTCGTCCCGCTCCATGCAACTCCCAGAAGCAGTGGCATGTGCCCCCTCTGGCTCCTATGTGTAGGGGCAGCCAGGAGGCTCCACACACTGCCTCCGCCAAGCGCCGCCCCCGCAGCTCCCATTGGCCAGGAACCACAGCCAATGGGAGCTGCAGAGGCGGCGCCTGCGGACAGGGCAGAGCTGCCTGGCTGCGCTTCTGCATAGGAGCTGGAGGGGGGATGTGCCGCTGCTTCTGGGAGCTACTTGAGCTTAGCGCCACTTAGGGCCCGCACTCCTGACCCCCTCCTGTGCCCCAGCCCTAATCCCAGTCCCGCCCTCTGAACCCCCCAGTCCCAGCCCGGAGCACCCTCCTGCACCCCAACCCCTCATCCCCAGCCCCATCTGAGCCTCCTCATTTCTGGCCCCACCCCAGAGCCCGCACCCCCAACTGGACCTCTCACCCCCCCTACACCCCCCCCCCAATTTCGTGAGCATTCATGGCCCGCCCTACAATTTCCATACCCAAATGTGGCCCTTGGGCCAAAAAGTTTGCCAACCCCGGCTGTAATGGGAATGTTTACCCACATACTGGAAAAAAAAATTAAAGATCAGTGACACCAGAATCCTCAAAATTGGATGGATAATTTTAATTCCTAATGGAAGCTCTGCTCTGTGCAAACTTACAGTGGCACAATATTAAACTATCACAAGTTTGAGGTATTAACTGGAAAAGAAATATATACACCTATACACACATGCGCACACAGTATTCACAAGTCTAGTGATCCCAAGACCAGCAAACCTTGGTATTGAGTGAAAAGAAATCATGTACTTGTCAGGGAAATTATACATGCAAAGAAGCTTTAAAAACCACATTTCACATAACCCTTAATATAAGGAATATTTATGTTTCTGTTCAACATGCTTAAAAGGAAATTATTTAAACACATTGGAAAAAATTCATATCTTTAATAGTGAGTAACCAAACTGAAAAGGGAGCCTGAAACCTGAAGCTTTCCTTCAAGATTACAAAATCATCCAAAAGATTATACCAAGAGGCCTCATTCCACCTACTTTCCCTTAAACACACAGACTAGATCTGCATGAAGGTTAAAGGATGGGTTTCTTTTTCCTTCTCCAAGTTTTTCCTATCAGTTTCCCCCCCCCCTTCCTTCCTCCTTGCCTTCTACAGCTAAAACTAATGGGATTAGAAATGTAGATGCAGCCATCTATTCTGTTAAGTGCCCAAAACTGGACACGCTGATCACTGTGTTCATTCATTCCTCTATCCCACTATATGGAGGAAAAAAATGCATCTCCATGGCTCATGCAGATTTAATGGACGAAAGGGACTCTTGTGTTGGTTCATGATCATGAACCTAAATTTACCACATGGTTACTCAGTGGATTACAATCCACACAGTTCAAGTGGTAGGCTGACTCGGTTAGGAAAAAGGTGAAGATTCTGAAAGATCAAAATTGAAAATTTGTCAATTAACTATCAAGCATTGTGGGAATTTTATCCATTTTCAGAAGATTATAAATGTTTCTGCTATAATGGTTAATACCCAAAAAGCAAATGGATTAAAAAATTTTTTTTAACTGAATGCCAACTCTCAAATGTAACAGTAGAAGGTGACAAGTATCAGAGGGGTAGCCGTGTTAGTCTGGATCTATAAAAAGCAACAGGGTCCTGTGGCACCTTATAGACTAACAGATGTATTGGAGCATAAGCTTTCGTGGGATGCTCAGAGACCTCATAAAGATAGTTCATGACTTACCTGCCCCTCCCCATTGAGGCCCATTTCCTGTAAATGCATTTTTATAGATATATGTGTATGCATATATTAGTATTTGCATGTGCATGGATCATATGACAATGGATCTGCATGATACTATATATGTATTACATAACTTCATTTCCCCTTTTGAATATGGTGTCACATAATGCAAGATTGCCTATATTTTTATAACATACAAATAGTGGTTGTAAATATTCAGTATTTTGCTTGTTCAGATGGTTGTAACATAAAGAACAATTTCAAAACCCCCAAGACCACGGGCAGATTTTCAAGGGAGCTCAGCACCCAACAGCTCTTATTGTATTGTGGGTGTTGGGAACTTTTGAAAATCTGACTGCTTTAATTGCCTAAATAGGAGCTAAGCGCTCTTGAAAAATCCCGCTCCACAACGAATTCTGAATACTTTTGAGTATTTGGCCTTGTGTTAAAAACAAACCAACCACCAGGTCAGGCATAAAGAGATACAAATCATTCTTGCAAAATATGAAAAGGGCAATTAGTTTTAATGAAAGTTGAGGACCCACCATCTCCTACCAAAAATACTAATAGGAACATAGGATAAGATAATGGATTTGGTGCTACTAAGGTAACTCCTAAAGAGATTCCCAATGAAATAAGATCCCTGTAAAAATCTTCAACTGCAATCAACAGCCTCATTAACAGATCATGGGAGCTTCTGGAATAATTAAAATGGCTACATGGGGGGGTGGGGGGAGTGAATGGTAAACAGGTTTAAGATTACACTGTTCCTTACTGTACACCAAGAATGATTTAAAGTAAAATGCAATGGCTTTGCCAAGGGTTATGGGCCTGATCCTGCAATTGGTTAATTCCACTTTTTTGTTCCTCCCTCCACCCCCCCCCCCACACACAGTCCCACTGGAAGTCCCCAAAGAGCAACTGCATCACTGTCACCTACTAAACTCAAACACTCACTCTACAGGCATCATGTACCCTGTATCCCACAGCTTCAGGAAGTCCCTTAATTTGTCAGCATGGATACATAGAACGTAAATACTCAGTCCATGGAATTAAATTATACTGAATTGCATTTAATAAATGGTATGTTTGCCATTGATTTCAATTAAATGGAATTTTGCTACTGATTTCAATGAAAGCAGCTTCACGGTGTTTGTGTACAGGAGTCTGTTTGCAAACCCAGATCCTAAGAGGGAGAAGGAAAGTATTTGGCTATGTAAAATGGTTATTAAGCACTGTATCTTCAGCAAAATTACTTCCAAGGGCCTGAGAAATCTGAGCTCCACATTTTCTGGTTTCTGCTAGAGTAACACTACAAGTACTACAGGGACAGGAAAATAGGGGGTTTAAATAATGAAATATTTCGATCACACCTACAATATATCTATGGAATGTGATGTTTGTTCTCTCTGGAAAAGAAACCGAGAAGGCTGCAGTGCAGGCTCTTAAGCAGCGTAAGCTGTCATTGGATAAGAGGGAAGGTCCTCATTGATTAGTAACTGGTTAAAGGATAGGGAACAAAGGGTAGGAATAAATGGTCAGTTTCCAGAATGGAGAGCAGTAAATAGTGGTGTCCCCCAGGGGTCTGTACTGGGACCAGTCCTATTCAATATGTTAATAAATGATCCAGAAAAAGGGGTAAACAGTGAGGTGACAAAATTTGCAGATGATACAAAACTACTCAAGACAGTTAATTCCAAAGAGTTACAAGGGGATCTCACAAAAGTGGGTGACTGGACAATAACATGGCAGATGAAATTCAATGTTGATAAATGCAAAGTAATGCACGTTAGAAAATGTAATCTCAACATATAAAATGTCGGGGTCTAAATTAGCTGTTACCACTCAAAAAAGAGATCTTGGAATCATTGTGAATAGTTCTCTGAAAACATCCACTCAATGTGCAGTGGCAAGCAAAAAAAGCTAACAATGTTGGGAATCATTAGGAAAGGGATAGATAATAAGACAAAGTATCATATTGCCTCTATATAAATCCCTGGTATGCCCACATCTTGATTACTATATGCAGATCTGATCGCTCCATCTCAAGAAAGATATATTGGAATTAGAAAAGGTACATAAAAGGGCAACAAAAATGATTAGGGGTGTGGAACAGCTTCCATATGAGGAAAGATTAATAAGACTAGGACTTTTCAGCATGGAAAAGAGATGACTAATGAGGGGATATGATAGAGGTCTATAAAATCGTAACTGGTGTGGAGAAAGTAAATAAGGAAGTGTTATTTACTTCTCCTCATAACACAAGAACTAAGGGTCACTCAATGAAATTAAATAGGCAGATTTAAAACAAACAAAAGGAAGTATTTCTTCACACAACGCACAGTCAACCTGTGGAACTCTTTGCCAGAGGATGCTGTGAAGGCCAAGACTACAGCAGAGTTCAAACAAGAACTAGATATGTTCATGGAGGATAGGTCCACCAATGGCCTTTAGCCGGGATGGGTAGGGATGGTGTCCCTAGCCTCTGTTTGCCAGAAGCTGGGAATGGGCAACAGGATGGATCACTTGATGATTATCTGTTCTGTTTATTCTCTCTGGGGTACCTGGAATTGGCCACTGTTGGAAGACAGGATACTGGGCTAGATGGACCTTTGGTCTGACCCAGTATGGCCATTCTTATGATCACTTTGGTGAATTAAATAAAAAGGGTGAAAGTTTCAGGTAATGATGCCTACCTTTGAGTTCCCCTGTCCGTTTTTGGTTTTACTATCACATTTTCCTATGTATTTCTCTGCTTGTTGCTGTGTGAAAGATCCACACAGAGGACACAGACTCCCCTGAATAGTGAGTTTAGTCAGTGAAACTACTACAAAATAAACAATCTTGAAAAATAGATATTGTTTTCCCCCTTCAATCAATAATAGCACTCTTACTTGTTACTTGTAACAATAATAGGTCAAAGATTTCCAGAGGGAAGTTTTTAAGTTGACTCTGTCCCTTTAAAATAAAGTGCTACCTATATTTTAATGGCTATAAACTTTGTCTTTTGTAATCTTACAAATAAGTTTTTTTAAAGTCCTAAGTTCACTTTTAAGTTTGGTTTTAGTTAAACAAACAGAACTTCCACTAAAATGTTTACCAAATGTGCAAAATATATATTACCTTAAACTGGTAACAAATCAGGGTTCTCAACTGACTAAAACAGAGATGTTATTTTGTGGGGATTTTTTTTAAAAGGTCACTTTTGCAAAGGAAATAAATGGGCTTGGTTTTGCTTCTTTATTACATATCAAGTTGGCCTGCAAGGATCTGTTTTGTTAAATTATTTTTCTCAGCTTATTTTTCAGTTGAGAAATTCAGGTTCTGTGCATGCTGGAAAACTCTGGTGACTGGCGAACTAGTGAAGTGACTGACTCATAAGAGTCTAAAAGTAAAATCTGAGCAGCTAAGAAGTGCAGGGATTTTTAGTCAGACTGCTTAAAATTCTGGTTTGGTTTTATGATAATATTTAACTTATGACTAATTAACATTTTTGAGAAAGGATATTTACCCCTTCAGTAAACATCTTGCTCACAAGAAACATACTTTGAGCTACCCAGAAGATCCTTCAGCAAAACCAAGGAAGAGGAGAACTTGACATGCCTGATATTTTTAAGCTAAAAGGTAAAAAAACCCAGACTTTTATTTTTAAAATACATTACAAAGAAGCAAAAGAGGACACATGGCCAACTTTAAAAGAATCCTTACAGATCACCTTTAAGGTAGGCAGGTATGGGAAGTAATACCCATGCTTCCCCAGTCCCCAAACTCTGGTCTCAGTAAGAGACTGCAAATACTTAATCTATCAAGTGTTAAGCAGCATTTTTCAACCAATCAAAACATGTTTTTTAAACAGAATATTCTTAGAAAGGTAATTATTTTTCTAATAATTTATAATTCAATGGAATGTAGCAGCCTAGTTCTAACTGTGCAGTAACTATATCTTTATCGTAAGCAGCTTTATTAAACACATTTCTTAACTGTGGTTTCACAGCCCCAATATTTTATAAACGCACTATGAAATCATTTCCCTTTGTGTTCACTGAAAAAATGGCACCCACAAGCATACAGGTGTATCTACGAAACAGGAGGCCAGTGCCTTTGTTCAAAACCATTGAAAAAATTCCTCTAAGACTATATAGAGAAGTTGACAAGTTCTTTGATGTTATTTTGATCTCCAAATTAGCATATTTATGATGCTTTTGGGATACTTTTAGAATTTAGGGAATCCACATTTGCTTGCTTGCTTTACTTAGAAGGCAAACTGAAAACATTTGGATGATTCTAAAATAAATAGATGAATGCGATGATACATCATCCCTCTCTTCTTGCTCCAAAACCTGATTAGTGGGGACACTCAGGACAGAAACCCTGCTTCATTTCAGTTTTCAGCTCTTCACTTTGAAGTTCACCTTTGATTTGTACTATGAAGACTACCTCTTTCAAAAGACCAAGAATGTTTTGGTTTAGCTATTAGCTTTTTACATCACTAGCCAGCCTGTTCCATGTTACACAACCATATACAATATTGGGCATTTCCAGTGAGACACTTTAGAAAAGGTCCACACACAAGACTTAAGGGTCACTCAAATTAGCAACATTTAATGTGGCTCTAAGGACTAACTATGCTCACAAAGTACACCAGTGTAAATCTAAAGTAAGCCCAATGAAGCGAATAGGCCAGTGACTTCAGTTAAGTAATTACACTGGTATAACCCGAGAGCAGAATTTGCCTCCTCGCAATTTGATAAATTATTTAAAGAGAAATTCTCTAAAACAATGTACTGCCCTTATTACTAAATAGCCAGCATTCGCAAATGAAAGACAAAATATTTTGCTCTGTTGTATTGACAAACAGTCCAATGATGTAGAAATTTCACCTACTACACTCAAAACACTTATTTCTTTCTATAGGCACCACACACCCTGTATCCAGCTGTTTCAAAATGTCCCTTACTTTGGGACAGCATGTGTGGATACATATAACTTACATGTTCAGTCCATGGAATTAAATTATACTTTATTCTATTTAATAGTTAAATGGTATGTTTTCTCATCTATATGAAGTCCATCCAGCAAGATTGTGGACTGAAACAACTTTCTATCTTGTGACTTCCTCTTGTTCCTGTACTTGATCAAATTTGTGGGGCTCTGATCAGGGCAGAATATTACAAACCAGCTAAGCATTTAATAGTTAGTTGTCAGAAGTGTTAAAAGGCACAAGGCTTGACTTGAGCAGTGATTTCCCTGTTCCACTTGTGATGAGTGAAAAGGAATTAGTTTTAGGATACTAGCTTGAAATGAGAAACTGCAAAATCACCCGAGAGGAAAGATTGTGTTTTTTTTTTTTTTTACTCTAAATTACTATTGCAGGTTTTCCCTCTACCTTTTCAGTGAAATATAAGGAACCTGGGAATGCATGTTCAACATGCTTATGGACTTATACTACTGAAATGCCAAAGGACAGAGTTGCTGTAAATTACTACAAGTACTAAAAGCAATGTTCATAACTTCTGTACAGCACTTTACAAATATTTACTTTTAAAAGAGATTAGTGAAGCTCTTGGTTTTCTTAGTATTGGTCAGAAATTCTTAAAAACAACAGCTAACTGCTACTCTATGCTAAATCAATTTATCCCAACATATATTTAAGAATATACACTGCTATATTTTTAAAATATCAAGTTCCTCTAAGCTGGTAAAGCCTGAAGATTGTACATAAGGTTAGAGATAAAGTGTTTAAATTTTTTTGTTTAAACTACACACACTTGACATCTGAATAAGGAGTGATGTAGTCATACTATTTATTTCATCAGTGAAACAAAATATTTTATGGAGCTAAATTTCTGAGATTTTAAATAGAAAGTCATTTAACTTGTATATACACAAAGTGTTCTTTCCATAGATATTTACATGACAAATATGTTAGAGGAGAACCACTATGACCAAGCCTCTACAAGTGTGGCATCCTTTCTGAGCTACTCTCTGCTGAAAGAATTCACGGAAGCCTTTGAAGTAAAATCTAAACAATTAAAATATGTAAACTGACTTTGTTCTATATTTCATAGTAGGTAAAGAAGCCATTAAATGATATTTCATTATAAGGATTCTGAAAACAGCTACACAGTAGAGTTTTAAATCCACCCTCCTTTCAACTTTCAGGATGAAACTAAATCTCTTCTCACTTGACAGGAGAGATATAATAGTGTACTTAAGGATGCACAGCTAAAATTCTAGTTCATCCTCCTCGGTAGATACTGGTCAGCCTTTCTAGTTCTTTGCAGTTGTCCATTGGCAAGGAGTCTGCTTTCATTCGGAGGCGATCATCTCGGTACACTTTTGCTGCATACAGCAAATCAGTTTCTTAAAAAAGAAAAAAAGATTTTTAGGGTTAAAGTACTAATTGCACATGTATGTAGGACTCTCTCACTCAGAACTTCCCCAAGCATCTGACATCTAAATCCTCCCCACACCTTGCATCACTCTGTTTGCTGCTCCCAACTAATAATCATAGTGACATCAATGTGTAGTTTTATTGCAGGCTTCCCTCTGCTGGATTTCCATCAGCGTTGCTTGCCAGTTTGAAGTTCAATGCTGGTAAAAAGCAACAGAGGGTCCTGTGGCACCTTTGAGACTAACAGAAGTACTGGGAGCATAAGCTTTCGTGGGTAAGAACCTCACTTCTTCAGATGCTGGTAAGAGACTTTCAATGTTCTTATATTTCAATCCATACTTACCGATTTCAAAGAGATTCCCTATCCCCCTTTACTTGCTTACTTACCGTACACCAATAAAGATGTTGACCACTTCACCCCTGTGGTCAATGATCTTATGTGTGATCTTAATGATACACCTCTAGTTATCCTGGCAGTGTTCAAAATCCATTCTGAGAGTTAAATGCCTTTTAGACCTAGTTGCCCAGTTCACTAAATATACCAATTTCTCAGTGATAAAATAATCCTTGTGTTCTGTTTTATAGGAGTGCCTACCAGTCCTACATTGTGGAGTATCTGATTTGCACAACGTCTCTCTTTCGGTCTCAGGTTAAAATTCTAACTAATAAATCATTCATTGAAGACAAACAGCTTTGGAAAGAAGTTTTTAAAAGAGCAAAGAATGACATCCAAAAAACCGCCACTGAACACAGAGCAGATATTTTCATAAATAAATACAAAGCAGGAATAACTTACTACACATACAGAAACTCTAATTTGTAGGATTTGTTTTTTTGTTATTTTTAAAAGCTATTTAGGAAGTTTTAATAGGTTTACATCATCAATGCCATGTAAACAACACAAACAAAATGATTATATTACTGCATAATGAGAAATTATCATCAAATCCCTTCAATTTAACAGGGCATTACCATATTACAGAGTGAGCCTCGTTACACCATCTAGGACATATTGTTTCCGATGTCTTTATTAAATAGAGTCAAACTTCTGACTCTACTCTTGTTCAGCTTCACTTCTGCCATTGCCAGTACATACTCTAGAGCAGTGGTTCCCAAACTGAGGTTCGTGAACCCCTGGGGGTTCGCGAAATGTTACAGGGGGTTCTTGGAAAAAAATCCCTAATGGAGGACAGAGCTGTCCCTAGGGACCCCGGGTAGCACGGGGCCAGCAGCCTGGAGCCCCTGGACTTCCAAGAGCTAAGCAGATCAAAGCAAGCATATCTATCACACTGAGGAGATTTAAACGTCAAGACTCCTTATAAGAAATAGAAAGGGAGGTGGATATTTTTTGCTGTTTTTAAAATTAAATAGGCAGCTAGTATTGTTTTTTTTTAATTATTATGAAGAACAAGTTTAAGCTTTGTTGTAATGTGCATTGTTTGCCTGGACTGCTCAAGACCTGAATGCTTGTGTAGGAGGAACTCTTTGAGTTGGCTTCTTAAATACCTTCATGATGTTTCACATCTGATACTCCTTGATGAAACATAGGAGCCTTGTCTTATAACAGGCTTATTCAAAGTGATAGAAGCTACAAAAGTGAGATCTTGGAAGAGTGTTGCCATTTTCATAATGTAATAAAAATATACTGTAATAATAATAATAAATAATAAATAGTGTGTAATATGCATGTCATAAAAACAAATTTTATATTTCACAGATCACTGCTTTTATCATTTATACTCAGACAAAAGAAAATCCCTGGAAATATACATTTTTAGGAGAGGGTTCCTGAGACTCGACATTTTAGTGAAAGGGGTTCACAGGTTGTTGAAGTTTGGGAACCCCTGCTCTAGAGTACTGTCTTTTCCTACCCTCCTTTTCCTGGTTTCAGAATCTGCCAATGTTTTTTAACCAGATCATCATATTTTCGACCTCTGGGGTATCCTCTTTTGTGTGTGAAATGTGGATTTCTATCCTAAGAAACCCGAGCGTATATTCCCCTCGTTTAAAGTCTCTAACTATATAATACTGATTTTTGAAGCTGAGAGTTTAAGTGGGAATCCCCATCTTTAGCAGAGCTCTGCCATCCTGCCAGCTGCTATAATCTCCCCTAGCTCTCTCCTCTTTTTTTAAAGCTTGGGCTAGAGCTGGTTGGAGAATTTTGATGGAATCATATTCCACTGGAACATGTGGTTCTGTCTAAACTGAAACAGTTAGCAAAAATAGGTTAATTTCACTTTCATTTCAGAAGCAAACCCTGAAAAAAAGTTCTAATGTTGAAACATCACATTTCAACTTTTTGGAATGAAACATTTAGATTTTTCATTTTGAAATGACTATTTTGATTTTTTTTTAAATTTTTGTATTATGCGTTATACAAAACATTCAGATTGTCATAACAAAACATTTCAACCTGAAATGATTTTCTTCAGAAATTTTCCTTCACAGATCATTGTAAAGTTTTGGGCTTCCATTCTGATTCAGAATGAAGCCAAATTCCAAAACCTTGGAAGTGTTTGCAAAATGTATCTTCTGCACACAGCTCTAGTTAGGACAGAAAGGTTCTGGAAAAATTGCAGCTTATTCCCTTTGAGTACAAGCTGCAGATGCCCTCTTTTTTTCAAAGTTAAATCTTTCTGCTGATAGTGATGAAATGTCACAATGACAATGAGGACTGTTAAGAGGCCCAGGTGGAGAGACCAGCACCCTATGTACTCTGTGCCCCCCAGAGCTCTGATTGATGAACTCTGTAACTGAAGTTATTGTGTAGTCCCTTTGTTAACACCCTTTGTTAAGCTCAAATCTACAAATAAATCTATATGTTTCCTATTCTAAATAGCAAACTTATCCTGTAGAAAAATAGGATTTAGTTGAAAAACATTTTTTTTTTTTAAAGCAGGAAAATGTTATTTGACCACATTTTATGACAGGAAATTTTAAAATGAAAGTTTTCATTTCCAACTACTTCTCCTTTCAGTTTAGGTTTCAAAACTGAACTATTTTGATTTTTACTTTTGGAATCTTCACCCACCCCTTTTCACCCTTGTTTACTCCCCCCACCTTTTACGACTGGAAAAAAGAAATCATAAGGCCAGTAGAGATTAACAAACCTCAGAAAGTAGGAAAACCTATTTCGCTGGGTTTTTTTTGTACTTTCCCCCTCAGGATAATGTTGGATAGAAGTGTGGGGTTTTTTAGTGTGAGAAGGTGGAGAATATGCTCTTAAAAAAAATCTGAATTTAAAAAAGTAAAAACAAATTAGAGAAAGTACTATGTGTGCTTACTTTCCATTTTTCCATGTTTAAACAAGCGAGGAAGGGTACCCCATCCTACTTTCACAAACTTAAAAAAAATCTCTATCGCATCAGTGTTTCCAATTGGGGAAAAAGGGGGGGGGATGTGAAGAGAGGGAGAGAGGAGAAAAAATATCAGAATTCAAAACTCAAAATTTTAAATTAAAATGTTTTAATTTCTTTTCAAAATTTCTCAAAAAGTGTGAATGAAAAATGTTTGTTCAAAACCTATTTCGCTGGGTTTTTTTTGTACATGGGAAAAAATTATTTTGGCCAACTCTAGTATTAATGAGGATGAGCTCTAAGTTTTACTCTAAAGGATGTTAATTTATGTTGGAGGGACAAAAAATAGGGATCTAATTTTTGTTTATGTCTGTTGATTGGTCCATGACCAGTGAGGGGAAGACTTTATAGTCTTGTAAACTTTGTACTGGTCCAAAGAATATCTAGCCCTGGTAGGTTGAGAGATATTGGATGTTAAAAAACAGGTCATTTTGCTTTCTCACTTCAGTTTTGAGGTGATTTTTTTCAGCCCTACTTTCAGAATCTGACAATGTTTTATATCACTCACATGTATTAAAGGATTGGATTTGAGCCCTATCCCTTTTAAAAAGTAGCTGGTTAAATTATCTGAATTAAAGTGGTAAGAAAAAAAATTCTTAGTCTAAACAACCTTATTTTTAAGATCTGGTATTGCACAAGTTGCTAGTTCTTGGGGAGGGAGATAAAATGATAGATTGTGAAACATTTATTCTGGGCCCCAAAGATGTATACGATATTGAAATTTCAATGTGCCATTTTTAGTCTGGTCCAGGACTAAATACAGAAAGTTCCAGACCTCAGGTCAGAGTAAGTTTTCCTTCTTCTTTCCTCCATTGGGTGGTTTTTTAAAAAAAAAAAAAAAAAAAAAAAAAAAAAAAAGACAAAAAGCAAAGCAAAGCATTCTTGCCCCCAGGTATGGAGGTACATTTTGGATTGAGGAACAAATGCTAAGCTACATGGCTAATAAGGAAGTGGATGTGTGGGAATAAAAGTGGTTCTACCATAACACGGACGACATAAAACAGATAAGAACTGCTCTGTGAGCTTTTTCAGGGTAGGGGTAATGAAGAATATTGATTTTCCATTACTAATGTAGTCAAATTAGTAAGTCTGTCATTCAATGCCAAAAAAATTACAGTAGTTCACTTTTTAAGAAATGATCACAGGTAACAGAACAAAGAATCGATCGTTTTGTAGGTGGCAGTTGTTTCCTTCAGTCATCAAGTGAAAACCTTGGGAATTAACACAGACTACTTGGTGTATTTTTAAAATGCAACAAACGTGAAAGACTGGCCTTTGTATTGGTTCTTTCATACAAATCACATGTAAACTCTTCTTAGTAAAAATAATCACTTCATTCTATTCTAATGCAGAAATAAGCTTTTCATGGTAATACATGTTTTTGAGACGTGCCAAACATTACTCATTGGGTAAACTTACTTTGCTGCCTCTCCTTCCAACAGTTATTTCGAATGTTAGACACATAGTCCTCTTCCACACTCTTTTCCACCTTCTGTAATGACACTCCTTTGTATTCATTTCTGAAATCCTTGTTGACATAATAAATGACACCCAGGTTTTCTGTTTTCATTTTGATGGTCTGCCCTGTACCACTGTAAGAGACATGTGCTTGTTATTCTTTTTATATACCCAATTTTTGTACGTTTCAAATGTTGCCATTAGTGAAGAGCAGCAATAAGGTTTCACTGAGTACAGATAAGTCAGAGTTGTAATGAAAAGCAGTGTAAACGTCATGTTTAACAGAAGAAAAGGTTTACATTCATATGAAAATAGAACTTCTGCCTTTTACCTCTCCATCTCCAAAAGTCATTTTAGTAAGTAATCTTTGTTTTAAAACCTTATAAATAAATAAGGTGTATATAACAGCACTGGAACCTGGCAAAATAAAAAATTAGGTCCCCACCCTGCAGCCATCAAAACCAGCAGCATCTCACTCTAAAATGTTTTACTGCAGCCCTTGACAAATCCACCTGCATGATGGCATACTGTGGATTAAAAACCTCATGGTTTGTGCATGCTCTGGAGGAGTGGTGCTTGTATCACAGGAGCTTAATCGCAAAAGGGAAGAACATCTCTCTCCTGTGGAGCTCAAACTCTGCAGGAGAAGGAGCCTTCCTTCTGTGAAGTTCAGCAGTTCTGCAAGAGAGTGAGAACCCTTCAAGCAGTGATCGCAAGTACGCTAAATCTATTCACTATTTACCTTGTGGATGGTTTGTCAAGGGAGTTATTTCTTTCAAGAAAAAATGGCGTTTTAGATACCCATCCATCTTAAATAGATATGAGTTTCAATACCTGTACTCCCTTCCGGACAGGCAGGGACAAAATATTGTAACCAAGTCTACTCTGGGGGAAAGGGGAGAATAGAGAATTTCTCCAGTTTCATTATAATTCAGACCTTAACAACACAGGTCAGGAGGTTGTTTTTGTCAGCTTCCTCACTTGGTGCAAGTAGAAGATGACTCCGCAATGGAGATGTTAAAAAGACATGCAAAGAAATAAAAAGGGCATTTTTAAAAATGGAGTAGTATTTTTTTTTAACAAATTTAATCAGTGTTACTTACGATCTTGGGTATAAGGCATAAGGAGGATTAGAAACCATCAACTGGCTCAACAAAGAGACAAGGATCAATACAATAATAGGCATCAGCTGGATGAACATTGAGAAGCCTCCCTATGGAACAGAAGAGATAAGGTTTGGGCATTTCATAAAATCAGGATCAAGATAGTACACAAATTTGGCAGGGTTTAATAATCTAAAAATCCAAAAGACCAACTACTTTGTAGACAACTACAAAATTTAGGTACTGTCAGATATCCCTACCCCAAAGCCACTAATAATTATTATTTGTACTGTAATAGTGTCCAGAGACCCCAAACAAAAATTAGAACCCCATTGTGCTAGACACTGCACACACACAAGGAAAAATGTTTCCCTGTCCCAAACAGCTTACAATTTAAGTATAAATGGCATTAATTAGTTAACAGGAATGCAATACATATTGCATCATACAACACTGAAGAGATGCATTTAAAACTCCAGAGATGTAATTCAACACCCATCGAAGTCAATGAGTCTTTTCACTGACAATAGACTGGACCAGGTTTATGTAGATGTCAAATAAGTAGCTAAATGCAGGTACACAGCAGGCCACACTTAGGGCTTGTCTGAAGTTAGTGCAGAACAGCTGTTCTGCACTAACTGCATGTGTGAATGCTCTTAATCTACTTTAAAAGTGGATTAAATTAGGATAAATGGGAATAAGGCACACTTACTCCAGAACAAGAGCGTCCACATACGAAGTTATTCTCAGGAGTAGCTATTGTGTTTTAAATTAACTTCCTACCTTAATATCAAGGTGGGGAAAAAAACAGACTTCTTAAATTGGATTTTTTTATTTTGTTATTTAAATTATATGAAGTTCCTTTTTAAAAATAAACCTGTTTAAAAATGAAATCTCAATTTAATACCAACTATGTTAAGGCCTAAACTTACCATAATTTAGTTGTAAATGTGCAACATGTTTTGATAAAAGATGTTTATATATCCAAAACATTTAGTGTTTTAATAAAAATAAATACTGTAGTTGTTTTGTGGTGTTTAATTAAATTCCAGTTACCATCCTAATTCAGCTTGACACAAATCATGAGCAAAATTTACGTAGTATATAAGCGATATATCAGTCACTATTTTTAAAATACTAAAATGTAAAATTAATAACCTGAAAATGTTATGATATATAATTGCTTAAATAAATGCATATAGTTAGCGTGTACCCTCCTAGGTAGCAAAAAGATGTACCACATCTAGTGTAAAGACTCTATTTAGTTTTAAATCAACATATGTTAATAGTTATATCAACCAATGAGAATGCAAACTTTCTTTGGAAAATAACTGAACTACGGATAGAAAAGTTCATTAAAATTGATTATTTAAATCAAGGGTTTCCACTTGGTGATTTAAATCAATCTGCCCTGCTTAATCCAAATTAATTTTCAAGTACAGACAAGCTCTTAGTGACCAGAAACTAATTTAAATAATTTAGGATGTTAGTTTGGGACCTTTTGTTCTGTTTACTGCACCTTATGCAAATCTTCATGTCTGTTTACCAAAAGGAGCTAGGCTGTCCCACACTAGGCCTGTAAAATATTTCACTTGCAAATTTAGGTGTTCCTAAAGAGCAAAAGATTCCCCTGCAATCATGCCAGGTATATGACTACAATCTTCTTTCTCTAGCAGTAGATTCAGGTCAAAACCACTCAAACATACATCACCCCTTTCCTCTTCTCTCTCATGTCCACTATGACGGTGTTGATTAGGATGACTGTAGCCAGCTCGACCATTAGAAAATGAATGTACACTACCTACAAAAAGAAACATCAGTCAAGAAAACAGCAGTTATAATCACGCAAGATGAGCGAGAAACTAAAATGACTTGATAACTACAGACTGGGGAATTAATATACAGAGTGTGACATTTAAAATAGCTCATATTTAAACTTCTTATATTTTGAAAGTTGCATTAAATAAAATAGGTCTTATTTTTGAAAACCTACAATATTTATGATTTCATGTGCTCCTGAGGTCACCATAGCAATCAGAAAAGGAAATTAACAACTTTAATATGTAGCAATACACAGAGGAAAACAACTTGCTTACAGATGATTAGGAAAAGAATATTTTGGATTAAATATTCTAAAAATCATATTAACTCTGTAGTACAGCTCTGATAAATACCCATGAAATATTAATGAGTAAATACCTGATGGAAACGCTCCTCCGAAGAACATATTGAATAAATCCTCTGGAGTAATATCAGCCTCACAACCTCTGTGGAAATTAAATCTACCATTGCCAGGGTGATTGCATGCTTGCTCTTCGCTGCCTGTAAGGTCATATTGCTTTCGTTTTTCTGGATTGCTCAGCACAGCATATGCGTTTCCAATCTCTGAAACAGGGAACAAAGAGTGCTCACACAAATGAACAGTAAGAGCTGTTCTGTAATTACAGTTGTAATTTCAGTCAAGAACTTGCTGAAGATTAGCATCATTCATAGGTGATACTGTACGTTACAAAATCAACTGCAGTGGAACAGGGTGTCCAGAAACATCTTAGGTTTCCTACTCCTTCCAAGGCCCTGTATCATGGTAAAGTAGCTATAGAAGTCTGGACAGTTATGTTTATATCTTCAAAGGAATGTCTTCATCTGCTGAAATATTTCCCCCTCGTTGCAATTTAAAAAACATAGCTTTAATGTGAACTCAAAAGTCAGGTAAATTGGAAAAGTTTGGCTTGATCCAACAACATTAGCTCTACCATGAAGCATCTCCTGTATATTTTGTGGGTTATATTAATAGGAATAATACATTAAGATTTACATTCAATAAGACAAATAGAAAATACTACACATGCAATATGAGAGTTAATATTAGTGAATCAACCTTAACTTTTGGAATTACCTGAGTTGTGTGTGCTTGATCTTGGTTACTGAGGTGCAGTTAGGGCCATATTTTTTAAACTGTCATGTGACACTGCTAGCAGTGCTGCTTTTAAATGACAGACCAAGCTACAGAGATTACACAGAAACCCTGCTATAGGACACACACTTCAAATACAGTTATCAACGTTACTCTGCCTCAGGGTAAAGATGGTGGTGAGAGTTTGACATCCTCAGTAGTGGAGAGAAATTAGAGAGAAGTCAGTCAGCTCGTAACATACACAGGAAGAAAACCTATTGCAAAAAATATTTTACACAAGATTTTTTAAAGTAACTTTTTTTTGCTTATGTTGTGCCATGAAAGATCACAAAGTGCTAACTGATCATAGCAATTCAAAAAGGTTTTTTTGTTTTGTTTTTAAAAACAGAATTTAGAGGAAATAAAAAGACAGACTGATCAATGTTTTAAAATAAAAAGAATAGACTCTTGGACAACTTAGTAAAATATGTTCCAAGAGATTTGAAAAGTGAGTTTAATCTTCATCTGGTTTTTGTATTGAGAAAATAGTCTTACATTCTTATTTCATACCATGTGATCTACTAGTCTCAAGCACTACACTAAGTAGGTTTTCTTAAACAAAAAACACCAACAACCCTCTTGATTAGTAAATTATAAATATATGTTGTCTGGCGGTACTCTAGAGACTGATCAAATGATACTTCTGAAATGTTAAGAAAAATACACACTCCTATTAAAACAATTGGGACTCCAACATATCCCCTGCACCATTTTCAACCCATACACTGAAGTAATGTGCATTTGCTGAAGAACCAGAAAACGAGTAATTTACTTTAAGATGTCCAACCTGAATGAAGAGTGAAATAGTGAAAGTTTGATTCTGGAAATCTCAAAGTTAATATTTGAAAGTATTATTAGTCACAAAGGTGAAAAAATTTAAAACTTTTTTAAATTTGGCAGTGACCTTTTAAAACAAATTATATAATATATAAAGTAAAGTTTATCTATCAAGAACATGTTTAACTATATTCAGACAATTATTAGCATTAACTTGATTGCTATGAGTAATCTATTTCCCATCTTAAACCCTTAATGTGTCATAATTAGTACTTTTGGCAAGGTCTACACAGAAAGTTTTATTCAAGGTTTAAACTAGAAATAAGAGACTTGATAGTATTTTGATTTGTTCCATCACCAAACAAAAGACCGTGTAAAATGAAAGAATGAAAAGATACCATAGTTAGATTGCACTTGAGAAAAACAATTATTTCTGAAAAGTTCATATTTTCCTTCAAGTATGCATGCAATATTAAAGGATGTTTTTTCACCAAAAGCTTTCCCATCAGCAATTTAGCCTGATCCAGGAGAAATCTTGGCAGTCCTAGCTGTCTGCATATTAAAATCGAGCTAGGGATTGGTCAAAAGGCAGTTGGAATTTGGTCCCTTTTGAACAAACCTGTTTTTGTCTGAAAAAAGAGTTACCTTTTTCTTAGTTTTGTGTGTGTAACATAGCATATCATGTGACTGAGTGAAAACTGCACTTTGATGCAAACTGCTTGATTTTTTTAAACCCTCCAATAACAAAAGCACAATCAAATTTCTCTCTCATCCAACTGCACTGGTATTAAACCAAGCATGAATTTTCTTGATGTGATTTTGCATAGTCAGTCTAGATGCTTAGAATGGCAAATGTCAATGTTTACATTGGAAAACAAGTTACTTGTCTTCATTAATTCATATAATTAATTTCTCTTATATGTTAACATTATAAAACTTTCGTTGCCAGTATAGATATACTAAGTAATGCAAATCAGTTTCTCATTTTGCGTTCTTTTAGCTAGGATGCTACAAGATAGAAATATCTGAAAACATGGTTTTGTATCAGCTACCACCAGTAAGTACTGTTCTTCAGCTATGAAGCCCTTCTTATTACAAATGCCTCTCAGACCAAAAGCAATGGTAAATATGTAAATGTTGTGATGGCATAGTATGCATAATCATATAAAATGTCTTCATATTAAATTAACCATTTTGCCTTATTTACATGCATACATTGAGATGTCCCTTAATTTATACATACGACCAATCATTTTTTGAAAAAGTAATTATTTAAGGGCCCTTTTTGACCTACACAACAAACTGTTGCTTGTTCCATTCTATGCAGATAGGATTAATCAGTACTAAACCACTATGTTTTAACACAGCTAGTTCTGTACAGTAGATGGGCCCCTTATATTCTAAAAGGCTTTCTCCATGTACAAAGTTTAATTGTAGATTTTTTTACTTTTAAAAGCATCTGTTGCTCCAGGTGCATGGTTTTTGTCTGGATGAAATTTCAAAGCAAGCTTTCGGTAAGCCTTCTTCAAGTCTTCTTCACCAGCATCTTTTGACACTCCAAGTACTTCATAATAATTTTTACTTGTCTTTATGCTGCAGAAAAGAATAAGCGAAAAGATTTCAAGCAAAGATCTAAATATAATACAGTTGAATGTAACTACAAACAGAGAAGTCACTGAAGATATCAAAATTAGCATATTTATATAACTATAGATATTCTGGAAATTAATTTATAAAAATTGCACCTTCTCGCACAAAGATTATTTTACTGTGTACACTTTAAAAAGTATAATCTCTGAGTACACAAAATAATTCTTTTTATGCTACAAAGCTAATACAACTGTAAGAGAGGGAACTGGATTCTGTTCTGCCTTGTACAACTTCCACAGAGTCAGAGAATCTTTTTTGCTAATGCTGCCATGAATCAGAAATAACCCAATTTGATTTGGCAGGATGGGTAGTCAGAAAAATATGTTTTTATATATAAATAGAAGATTTGATTTGCATTTCCATTGATAGAAAATATCAAATGCCACCTCATAATGCCATTCCGAAAATCACTTTTCAGAGAAGAAATGCACTTAAGCAACAAAATGAGAGAGATGTTTATAGACAGGAATACACATGGATCCCAGAAACCTATTTTACTTCTATAAAATGCTTGCATAAATTCAAAGAAATAATAAATAAAATAGCACTAATCCTATATTCTGATGACCTAGAATGCTTAACATAGCATTAACTCTAACAAAGCCTTAACAACTTTGATACTTAAAACTCTGTTTTATCCCGACCAGAACAATAATATCGGGACAATGATGTAATAATTTGCTGCATTTTAAAACACCCAGAAATGAGGTGGAGACAGAACCCACAGGGGACAGAGAACACCCTAAATCCATGGGAACAGGAAGGTTTGATCAAAAGCAGGACATTAATTTTAAATCCAAACTGAATTATGGGGTAGTGAGTTCAAAAACATAAGTAAAGCATTTAGGAACTGCAGGATTCTCCTGTATAACTAAACTAGCAGGGTTTGCCAATGTTACAGTACGCTGACATTTGTTGAAAACTGGAAGAAAATATTTGGTGCAAGCAAAAAATAGAAAAGTTAAAGCCCAGAAATTAAATAATAAAGCACCCAAGTAGGGGGCCTCCTGACTAGTAGGCAGCAAGATGGCTAACACTACCATTACAGACTAAAGGCTTGCCTTTAGGGGTTTCATACTACAACAAATGTACAGGAGTAAGAGAAGCACCTTCACACTGGTCTGTATGAAGTTTGTATTGCTTTAAATATGACAGTTTCTAAAGTGATACTGCCATAGTGCTCCAAAAACTGTGTGAAGACCAGCCCTAACAATCACCAAAGCTGAATAGGTAAAAAGGTAAGCAGGCCTTTGGCTCGCTCATGAAATGAAGAAATTTTATACAGGAATGGGAATTCTACAATTAAAAGTATGCTAGCCTAAGAAGTCAGGCCAGACCATTTTACAAGGTATTGTTGAGATCACTGATTGATCAAGTGGTGTCTCATTCGAGGGATCACTTTTCCTGTGTTTAAGTAACTAAGTCCGTGCTTAGGCATGATGACCACAAGAGCATTTGCCTTAATTTCTGAATTCATTGTTTCCTTTAAAGTCTTCAGTATCTGGACTACTTTTATTATGAACACAACTTGAAAAAACATGTATTGGTACACTACAAGGTAATGAATGACCACTAATTAACAGTGTTTGTTAGTGTTAAAGTTATTAAAAACATTTGAACACTCCAATGCCATCCAACTAATATCACTCACCCCCAAAAATCTTTACAGCCTACAAAAAATTCTCATAGAATTAAGACAAAAAACACAGGTTAAATTGTTTAATAACATTAAGCTTCAATTCACACCAGTTGTCTATGTGGTGAACAGAGAAATGAAAAACTGTACATTACCAACTGCAAAACACTTGTCCAAAACCAAAGATGTCTGTACTAGCACATTAATTGTTTCACAAATTAACTCTAAGTAACTTACTATTAGTCTTTCTTGTTAAGGTTATCTAAATAACACTTCACATCAGTAAAAAAACAACAGCTGTACAACTCATGTTCCTCAGAAGTCTGGCTGTCATGCCCAGAAAGAGGGTGGTGAGGTGAAAGGTGGGATTGCTTTTCTGAGAGATTTCATGGAGTTCTTCGATGGAGTTTGAGGATATCACAGCTGACACTCCCTCACAGGACAGTTTTAAATCAGGTGGACTTTGATCCAATTTATAACTGCTGCAGGAACTTTTCCATAAAGCCTAGGAGGGTTTTCCTCTGTCACTTTTCTCTTGAAAGCTAAATATTGCAGCTTTTAGGCTTGCACTGTTCAGAATAGTAGTTCTCAATTAGGGGTATGCGTACCCCTGAGAGTATACAGTGGTCTTCCAGGGGGAACATCAACTCATCTAGATATTTGCCTAGTTTTACAACAGGTTACATAAAAAGCATTAGCGAAGGCAGTACAAACCTAAAATTTCATACAGACTGTTTATACTGCTCTATATACTATACACTGAAATTTAAGTACAATATTTATATTCCAGTTGATTTATTTTATAATTATATGGTAAAAAAAAAAGTAAGCAATCTTTCAGTAACAGCGTGCTGTTACTTTTATGTCTTATTTTGTAAGTAGTTTTTAAACAAGGTGCAACTTGAGGGTATGCAAGACAAATCAGACTCCTGAAGGAGTACAGCAGTCTGGAAAGGTTGAGAGCCACTGGTTTAGAAGTCAACATGATTGCTGAAAACTTCACATTTCTAACAACCTAATTAAATAAATGTTCCAATTTCTTTGCTTGTTTTTTGGTTTTGATCCATGATGAACGCTCATACTTCCATTTTCAGTTTGTTTTTTGACATAAGCAGTGACACTAGTTTGTGACATTATCTGTTTAAACCCTTTCATCCATGTTCTGGATCATCCTCTACACCACATGTGTCAAACTCAAGGCCCGCGGGCCACATCCGGCCCGCCATACAATTATATCCGGCCCGCGAAATCGTTTTATATATCTGTTT